ACACGAACTGGAATAAGAACATTCTACTGACAACAATCATTCACTTGACTCTGATGATGACTTCCGCATAGGTTGTCGAAACGTCAGTCACTACCACCGACAACAGTCCTTCTTAGGACTACACTCACCCGGACGATCAGACTACACCTTCACATGTTACCCCCGGGTTCAAGCCATTTACTGCAGTATCGTCAATATCACCGATTCCCTCAATTACACTCCATGGAACTTGTTCTAGATCACTAATGAATGCTTTCTTGTCATAGCTTTTGAAAGACCTTTATTCAAATACCTTTGGCGGTAGTTTCTTAACGCCTCCTTTCGCCACGCAAAAGATTACCTTATGATCATTTTTTTGTATTTGGTGAGCATGGCGCCAGGACGGTCGCCACTTAACTGCAGGGCATCTGTGCTATTTTATTTAATTTGCATCTTAACTTTGGATGCAACAAACAGTTACGAAAGCGTAGGTCATTATCCAGCCATCCGAGATGATGAAGACGAATTTGCCATCGAATATTATCAGCATCGAAGATTATTAAATCCATGCACGTGGCACGTTTCCGACAGCGGCCATCTTGGTTTCTTCTTTCAACGCAAGTTCATCTACAATGGTCAATCAGCTTGAACAACTGATAAAAGAACCAACGCGTATGACTTCGACAACAAGCACCCTCATTGATGTGTTAATCACCTCAACACCTAGATTGTTTAAAAAGCAGGTTCAATAAGTATTGCTTTCAGCGACCATTATCCCATCTACGGTGTTATGCATGGATCAGCGACTCGCCCGGACAAACATCGGATCATAACAACGCGCTCCTGGAAAGACAAAAATGTAAATGATTTTATAGCTAACCTGAAGCAAGCTCCATGGTGCCTGATTGACTCTTTCAACGACGTTGACGACATGTGTTCAGCCTTGGAATCGCTGAGGAAATCTTTGATTGACCAACATTTTCCGCTAAAGAAGAAGCGTATTCGTAGACTTACGCACCCGTGGCTTGACAGTAGTGTTCTTAAACTTATGAGAACGCGCGATCAAGTACACAAGAGGGCAAGAAAGTCACGACTGCCTTCGGATTGGAATGGATATAAATCCCTTCGAAACAGAGTCACCGCTATAAACAGAAAAGCCTGGAAGAATTATTTCAAAAACAAGCTCGAGGAAAATCGCAGCAAGCCCAAGGCCTTTTGGGACACAGTACGTCTAGTTTTGCCCTCCAGGAAAAACCGCACTGAGATCGACAAGTTAGTAGTCGATTGTAAAGAGCTAATCGACAAACATGACATCGCTAATTCACTAAACGAGTATTTTACAACAATTGCTTCCTCACTGTTAGCCAGTCAGCAATCCCTCGGCTACCCTGCCGAGCTACAACAGACGGGCCCTTTAGCGTTTCCCAGTCACAGCTTCAATTTTCGCGCCGTGAGTGAAAACGACGTTTTCACTCACAACGTTTTCACTCACAAACGCTCTACGAACCACGGACATATCACAGGCCACAGGTGCAGACACCATTCCTGCTAAAGTCATCAGGACTACTGCACCATACATCAGCAATGTTGTAGCAAAGTTATTCAACACATCTTTCAGAAGCGGCCGCTTTCCTTCCATTTGGAAAACGGCAAGAGTAACTCCCTTGTTTAAAGGGGGGCTCCAGACCGAACGTGATAATTACAGACCAATTTCCATTCTTCCCTGTATCTCAAAAGTGCTTGAATCGTTTGCCAACACTGATCTTCAAGGTTTTACAGTAGACACCGGCCTCAACACTGACCATCGATTTGCACATGCCAGATACTCGTATACCACAGTCGCGCTCATCGTAGCCGTTGATTCATGGAAATTCGCCATTGACAGGGGCGAAAAAGTTGTCTGTACTTTCTCAGACCTAATAAAAGCTTTCGACGTAATTGAACACAACATCTTGATCAGTAAACTGTCCAAACACGGTGTCACTGGAAACGAACTTGAATGGTTCAAAAGTTACCTTCAGGGAAGAAACCAATTCGTGTCATACGGAAGTGTCGAGTCCAAACGTCGTTTAATCACGCACGGAGTTCCGCAAGGTTCGGTTCTAGGACCTAAATTATTCAACATCCATATCAACAGTATCACCGATACTTGCACAGATAGCGAAGTAGTACTATACGCCGACGACACACAAATCCACGCCAGCGCAAAAGATGTAAGTGCTGCAGAAAAACGTGTCAAAAAAGATCTAGAAAGTACTGCAACATGGTGGAATCAGAACGGTTTAATCAGTAATCACAAGAAATGCAAGGCTATGTTGATTGGATCAAAGCACGCTGTTAAAAACACCCGAGCGTTACAGATTATCCTCAATGGAAAACCAGTGAAACAGTCAGATTACTTTAAGTACTTAGGAATTTACCTCGATCATTGTCTGACATGGAGCAAACATGTAGCCTATAAACAATCTAAGGTTTACCCTAAACTAAAACTGCTTAACAGAATTTTATCCTTTCTTAGTCGCGATATTCTGCTCAGAATCTACAAGCAGACTGTATTACCTTTGTTAAACTATGGTTGTGTTGTATGGGGCGAATGTAGCAAAGAGAATGCCCAACGTTTAGAGCGCCTGCAAAACCAAGCAATGCGAATAATATTGCATGCTGACCGTAAGACATGTACTCAGGAGATGCGCGCCAAATTACAACTATTATCACTTCACAGTAGACGCCTTTTCATCAAGCTACAGTATGTTTACAAGATAATTAACAACATCAACTGCCCTAAGCAGTTGACAGGGTACTTAGTGAAACGATCACAGAGACACTGTCGAGCCTTTAGAGATCCAACATTATTAGATCTACCACAAGTTAAGACCAAATGTGGACAGACCTCGTTTAAGTTTTCGGCTGCGGAGCCTTTACAGGCTAAACTAGATCGGTT